AACACGACGAACACGACAAAACAGGAAAGGGTCTCATGTGGTAGCGGGTGGTGGGATTCTTGTGGCGGTAACTCATATTATTGGGCTTGCGGCAGCGGTTGTGCGCGAGGTAAATACTACACAAACATATGGTGCGGCTGCTGCTGCAGGCAAAACGTCCCCGCGACGCCGAACCCGACGCCGTACCCGACGCCGTACCCGACCCGACGCCGTACCCGACGCCGAAACCGACGCCGAACCCGACCCGACGCCGAACCGACGCCGAACCCGACGCCGAACCCGACGCCGAACCCGACGCCGAACCCGACGCCGAACCCGACGCCGAACCCGACGCCGAAACCGACGCCGAACCCGACGCCGAACCCGACGCCGTACCCGTCGCCGTACCCGTCGCCGTACCCGACGCCGAACCCGACGCCGAACCCGACGCCGAACCCGACGCCGAACCCGACGCCGAACCCGACGCCGTACCCGACGCCGAATCCGACGCCCTACCCGACGCCGTTCCCGACGCCCTACCCGACGCCGTTCCCGACGCCGAACCCGACGCCGAACCCGACGCCGAACCCGACGCCGAACCCGACGCCGAACCCGACGCCGTTCCCGACGCCCTACCCGACGCCCTACCCGACGCCTTACCCGACGCCGTTCCACGCAGGTCAGCCGTCATGAATTTGGTGGTTTTGGCCCCGTATTTCTTCCCAGTCCTGGTGCTGGAGCATCTTCGGAACGTGCCCGTGGTGGCCCCCACAGGGCTGAGGACAATTGCGCCCGAGTGGGGCCGCGCACTTAGGGAGTTGGAGATTTTGGAACATCTCGTGGAGAGCTCGATCAGTCGGCAGTGAGCGCCATGGGTCGGACGAGCGCGGAGCTGCCCGGGCCCCGAGCCAAGTTTCAAGAATCGCCCTGGTGGCTGCCGTGAACCAGCCAAGCGGATTCTAAGTTGGCGGCGATTTCGGCGCGCAGTGCATTGGCGCGCCGCGTAGGAGCTAGAGGCGACGCGCCTGGGCCCCGATCGCCCGGAGGATACCAGCCGAGGCGTTCGAGAAGTGGGATCGAAGGGGTTGGAGGAGCGCAGCAAGGACTTCCTTGTGCCTCCGCAACAAAGGGTCGATGTTCGACCAAGGGTCGCTCATAACTCGCGTTGCGAATTGCCTCGAGTCCAGCTCCACCTCGTGCCGTCACTGGCGGATTTCATTTTTTTGCTGCGCGTCTTGAAATCGTGCGCGCGTGCTGCCATGCAGCGCTCACTGATGCCGCGCCATCCTGCTCGGACTATGGGATAGTGCATATTTTGCGATTATGACATTTGACGAACCCGGCCCCTTGACAGTCAGATGCCGAGAGCCCGTCCTGACGATGGGAGTTCATGGGTTCTTTGGGTCGAAGGAGGTCAATCGGGACAGGAGTTGGGTGGGCCCGCCGTCGGAGTATCCGTCTCACCTCGTGGTGGCCAATTCGGGCGTGGAAGCTGCAGCTGACTGAATGGGCCGCCCGCCCAATGTGCCTGCTCGAGATTGAGGAGAAGGGTTTGCCCACCGCGTGGCAAGCCATCCGCTCGAACCAGAATTTGCTTCGACTGAAGAGTTTTAGCAGAGATAGCGCAATAATTAGCGCTGGTGCTGGTGGGGTGGGCTCCAACCGAGGCGATGCGGCCTCATCGAAAACTTCTGCGTGACTGCTGCGTGCTGGCTCTCGCGGGCCGCAGAGCGGGCGGGGGCAGTCATTCCCCGCCCAGGTGTTGGCGATACTATAATGTTCTTTTGAGGAGCACAAAGTTGGCCCTGGCCCGGGCCCCGGCGACAGCGGGAGAAGCGGGGCGCGTGGTCCATGGAGGGTCTGGGGCAGATGCGGCGCGAACCCGGGGGCGCAGTCGCCCCAGAAGGTTCCTGTCCTATCAGTCTGGCCACGGAGGTGTGGATGTTGTCATCGAGGGGCCATGCAGACCCAGTTGCGCCTCATGGGGGCCGAGCGGGTTTGTTTTTTGGGGCCTTTTTCATTGCGGCGGGTCTGTGGGGCGTACTTGATGGCGACAGCGGGCGCAGGGCGCGGACTTTTCAGGCTCGCCTATGCTGCGGGCCCAGTTTTGGCCGCCCGTTGGCCTGTTTTGCCCGCGGTCGTTCTTTGGCGTGGCCTCGCCGCTGCGTGCGCGCGTGCGGCTTCTGCCGTGCAGCAGTGCCGTCTGCCCCGCGTTGACATTTGGGTAGGCGCGCGCCCGGGCGCGCCCGATTCTTCTTCGTGGGTGATTCCTTGTTGGCTGGCCGCGACAGCAGGTCCAACGAGGTCGGTGATCCTGTCGCGGCGTCAGGTAGCGTGTGTCGGGGGATTGTGAAACATCTTAAAGTGACTTCGCTAGGCGCATGCTTGTGCTGCTGTATTAGCGACGCCATCGATTCTGAACAAACTTGCAGCCAAACCCAGCCCGTGGGCTGGCCGCGTCGAGAGTCATATTTCGTTTGTCAATCTAAGAGTATCTTTCAGCGCGTGCGTCAGACTACGGAAGCGCAGCAGAACAGTTTGAAGGGCAGAGTTGGCAAGGTGAAGGACAGACTCCGACGTGTCTTGTCGGTCCGAGCAGCAGGATCTGACGCCGCAGAACTGTTGTGCATAGGGCTCCAGCAGGCGGTATTTTTGGGCGCCGCAATTGGAGGATTTGCCGAATTGGGCCCCCAGGAAACGAACAATCCTTGTGGGGGGCTGCTGGGTCGGGCCGCGCCGTGAGATCTCGCACAGCTTCCTTGGCGTCTCTCGAAGGCTCCCGTGGGAGACTTGGTTTTACGCCACGTGTGTGTGTGTGTGTGTGTTGGAGTATGACCACCTGTAGAGCAACTCGCAGCTTCGTGATGTCTGAGCGTGCTGGCCCCTGGCAACTCTTTAGATCAGTGTTGGTGCGTTGTTTTCTGAGCGGTGGTCGCGCGTCGACCGCGGGCATTTCAGGAACCGACCGAGTTGCTAATGTGGCTGTCGACAGTGGGACGCAGTCGCCGGAAGCTGGGCGGAGCAGTCGCGCGGCGCTTATCAAACCATGCAAACGTTTGTTTTCTTGTGCCCTTCGCGAAGTCGCCTTCTGGCCCGCGGTGGCCCCGTGGGTGATGAGGGCAAAGGGGAATGGGCATTCTGCCCGAGAGTTTGGACCCTGTTGTGGGAACTGTATTCGTTTCGGAATCATGGCGGGACAGCTAAACAGGGGCACGCCCGCGTCTGGGGACGGGGTTGTGGCGCCCCCTCCCTCCTTGGCAAACTCGTACTGGATTCAGCTGAAGGGATGCTGGCAACAAAACCGTTGGTTTTGTCTTGTGACTTGTGTGGCGTTAGAGATGAACGTATGCAGGCGTTGCCGCTGCTTTGGCCAAGGTCGCTTGTCAACCTGGTGTTCACAGGCTGCATGTAGTCGACCACATGGCTGGTGGCAGTTTCGTTCAAACGTTCAGTGACTGTAGCAAGTTCACAGGGTGTACGCTCAATGGGGTCCAAGAGAGGTTTCTCCGATCTCTTCGAGAGGATGCTCGAACGTGTGGTGTTCGGGTACGCCCCCCAAGGCCTCAATTTGGAGTTTGGTTCCCGAATCCCACCGGCGGAGTGGTCCAGAGTCGCGTCAGTCAAGCGTCAGTAGGCGAAATCGAAACCCTTTTCCGAAGCGTTGCGATTGTCCTCCTCCGCACATCTTCAACCTCCTCCACGTGGACCTTCCTCCTCCTCTTCTTCCGCCCCGTATCCGTCGAAAGTTCCCCTTCCTCCTCATCTTTCCTCCTCCTCTCCCTTCTCCTCTTCCTCCTTCATTCCATGTCCCACTTAGTCCATCACTTCCAATCCTCTGCCTTTCCCTCCCCGTCCCCCTCGGCTTCCACAGTGTATCACTATACATATTATTCTCCCTCCTCCTCTGAAGTTGCCTGGACGATCTCCCGCCCCCTTCACACAACAATCGAACAACTGCTTTTCCTATATTGTTCGGTGTTTCAGAAGTGGTGTTCCCTTTGCATCATGGGCCTCATTTTCGGATCGGCGCTTGGCTCCCGTCGTTCAGAACGGCGCTCCCGTCCCACCGTCCCAGCGCGGGCTATGTTCCATCTTTCTGAATCCGAGTATTGCATCATGGTGGTCCCCTCCTCATTTCCCCCGCCTTCCCCTGGTTCTTTTGTTCCTCTCGTTCCTTCCACTCCAGTTCCTGCTGCTGCTGTTCGTCTCGCCCTGTGTATGTCTGTATGTATGTCTGTATGTATGCATGCATGCATGCATGTATGCATGCATGTATGTATGCATGCATGTATGTATGTATGTATGAATGTATGTATGTATGTATGTATGCATGCATGCATGCATGCATGCATGCATGCATGTATGTACGTATGCATGTATGTATGTATGTATGGATGTATGTATATATGTATGCAGGTAAATATGCATGTATGTAGGTATGTATGCATGCATGCATGTATTGATGCATGTAATGTAATGTAATGTAATGTAATGTAATGTAATGTAATGTAATGTAATGTAATGTAATGTAATGTAATGTAATGTAATGTAATGTATGTATGTATGTATGCATGCATGCATGCATGCATGCATGCATGATGTATGTATGTATGTATGTATATATGTATGTATGTATGTATATATGTATGTATGTATGTATGTTGTATGTATGTTGTATGTATGTATGTATGCATGCATGCATGCATGCATGCATGCATGTATGTATGTATGTATGTATGTATGTATGTATGTATGTATGTATGTATGTATGCAGGCAGGCAGGCAGGCAGGTAGGTAGGTAGGTAGGTAGACATGTAGGTATGTATGCATGTATTTTTATACATGTATATGAATACATATATATATATATATATATGATCCTTCTAACAAGTGTATGCTGCGATCCACGGCGAAGTTGCCGCACTTGATGGACATCTGTGGCCATCTCGCTCAAGCCTCGAGCGAACTCCGCCCGCATGTTCGCCGCGGCGTGCGCGGCGGCTGGCGCGCTGTTCCCTGAGGTCGGCCGCGGGCTCAGCACTGGGATGGCGCTGTACGCCGCCAACCAGGGGCAGCAGTGCCCGGCGTGCACCTGCGCGCCCCTGTGCCCGGAGTTGCGCTGCGACTGCTCCGGTCTGCAGGGCTCGAGCAGCCAGGGGCCGGGCCTCTGGTCGGTGGCGCTGGCCTGCGCCGCCAGCGGGCTCGTGGGGGCCTGCAGCGCGGCGCTGGCCTTCTGGCGCCTGAGCGGCCGCTTCCTCGGGCCGCGCGGCGCGGCGCTGGCCACTGGCGGGGAGGCCGACTTCGAGGAGCAGGCGCGGGCCCAGGCGCGCGTGGCGCGCGCCAAGGCCCTGCAGTGCTGATGGCGGCGCCGGCGCCGCCGGCGCACGCGTCGGTCGCTGGCTCGGGCGCCCAGCCCGGGGACTTCATCGGCGTGCAGTACAACATCGGCGGCGTGGCGCTCGTCCATGGGCGGCTCGTGGTGCCGGTGCCGCCTGGGCGGCCTGACAGCGCGAGCATCGTCACGCCGGACGCTGACGAGTACGAGGAGAAGTACGTGGGCTCGGCGGACGTGTTGAGGTGGGACGTCTTCCCCGGGGGCGCTGCTGGCGGCGTGATGCCGTGGGCCCCGGGGGCCCGCTACTACAGGTTCCGCAGCCTGCTGACGCCGGCGACCATCCTGGCGGCCGCGGACGCCGCGGCGGGTCGGCTCGGGCTCCCCGCCCCTCCAGGGCCGATCGTGGCCAACGCGGGTGGGCGGGCGATCGGAGCGCCGGCCGCCGCGCCGCTGGGCGGGCTCGTGCCGCCGGCCGTGGGCCCCGCTGCCGCCCCGGCTGCCGCCCCGGCTGCCGGCGTGGCCGCGCTGGTGGCTGCCCTCGGCGGGCCAGCGGTGGCGCTCGCGCCCCTGCTGGCGCTCGCGGCGCCGCCGCCTGGCGCGGCCGCGGCCGCCGCGGCCCCCGCGGCCTTCGCCGACGTCCGCGTGCAGCCCGTGGTGTACAACGCCCTCTGCTCCAGGCGGATCGGCTTCGGCGACGCGGTGGCGCGCATGGTTGAGCACCAGTGGCCGGACTGGCCGGTCACCGGCCCACGCGCGACGCTGTGGGTCTGCCAGTTCATGAAGGACAATGGGCTGTCGCCCCTCGGGCGCCACAGCAAGTGGAGGTCAGAGGGCCGCCTCGCGCTTGCCGACGGCGGCGTGGCCGAGCACGAGCGCTGCTGCTCGTACCTCGAGCAGATGGTGTGTTTCGATCAGTTGAACGTCCTGGACATCGCGGCGGCGGAGATGATCTGCCGGAGCATCCAGGTGCAGGAGGGGAGGTGGCGCGAGCGGTTCGTGTCGAGTGCCGACGAGTCGCTGGACTCCTACTTGTTCTACGGCACCTCGTCCAACCGTGGCGGCGTGTGCGTGCACCCCCAGCTGCTGGCCCACGTCAGCGCCGAGCTGTCGAAGGAGTACGCCGTGGCAAATGAGAGGCGCAAGGCGAGGGAGGAGCGACAGTCCGCTCGCACGCCGGGCAACAAGGACAAGAAGGGCAACAAGAACAAGGACAAGGACGAGCCAAAGGGGTGAAGGAGAGCGCGCAGCGGGACTTTGGGCCACCTGCTGCGCCGAAGCTCGAGCACCAGGCCCATTTTCGCGGCGACCTCGCCGCCACTGGTGACCACCGTCATCGGGATCTTTTTCCGCTACCTCATGTGGCTCGACGGACCGTGTGTGCTGCCGGCCGCATTCCCTGTCGTGCAGTCCGTCAGCGGTCCCGCCGCTCCGATGTGCTGCTGCAGTGGGCTGACCATGGCGTGGATGCTCTCAACCGTCTGTATGGCCACGCTGGCGTACCTCCGTCGGCGCCTGATGACCTTGGACAGCAGACCTGCTTGGTTTTTTTGGAGGACTGCTACCTGAGCATGGGTGCGATGCCGAGCGAGCCAGGTTTTTGTGAAGAAACCCTCCGCGAGCTTCTCAGCGGCTCCGCCGTCTACTCCGACGACGGCGGCGCCCGGGTCCCGTGCTCGAAGGAGCTGGTCTCCTGGCCTGAGGTGGGTTCCAGCCCTGCCGACCTTCTGGGCTGCCTTACTCAGGATGATGCTGACTGGGCACGGGGTTGGCGACATGATCTGCTCAAGACGCCCGACGAGGCGCTGGAGGGAACCCGACAAGCTTGCCCGCGTGGACCCTTTGTTGACCCTCGGTTGGCACGGGACCTAGTTCTGTATGGCGAGTTTGTTCGGCGGCTTCAACAATGTGGCATGCTGCGCTTCAAGGTGGCCTCCACTGACAAACACATGATAGGTGTATTTTTTGGTGAGGAAGAAGTCCGGGACACTTCGCATCGATCTCGACGCGAGGTGCGCCAGCGCTTTCTTCCACCCGGCACCCCCGACGCGTCTTCCTACGGCGGCTGCGGTGTCTTCGGTGGAGTCGGGCGCCCCGCCGCTCTACGTGGCGAGCGGCGATCTCGACAATGCCTTCTACCGCCTCCGGCCCATGTCGGGCCTCGAGGACTATTTCACTTTGCCGAGGCTGTCCTCTACCCGGGCCGGCATCGCCGAGCTCGACGGCGCCATCTTGCCGGCGGGTGCCAGCCTGGTGCCGTGTCTCACCGCGCTGCCCATGGGGGGTGGTCGTGGGCGATGCACTTCTGCCAGGCCGTGACCATGCGGGCGATCTCGGTGGCGGGCTTTTCGGACTCGCAGATCGTGGAGGACGGCCGGGCGAGCGTGCCCCTGCCCACCTCCACCGCCATTGCCGCCGCCGGCTACGTGGACAACTTCTACGTCTTCGGCTACGACCCGCCGCTGGTCACGCGCCGCCGCGACGACGTGTCCGCCGTCCTGCGGAGCTGTGGCCTGGCCGTCCACGAGGAGACGGACGCCGCCGCGGACGCCGCGCTGGTGGGGCTGAGGCTCCGGTAGGGCCGCTGGCTTTCGGTCAAGCGGCGCAACCAGTGGCGGCTTCGGGCGGCGCTCGACACCGTGCTGCGTCGGGGCTGCTGCTCGAGCAAGATGTTGGAGGTGCTGGTCGGCCATGTCACCTGGGCCTGTCTTATACGCCGGGAGTTGTTGTGTGTGCTGAGAGCTGTGTACCCGGACATCGCGGCTGGCCTTCCCGCGACTTCTCGGATGTGGGGCTCTGCTCGTGAAGAGCTCTGGCTGGTGCGGTCGCTGCTGCCCCTCCTCCAGAAGGACCTGAGCAGCCCGTGGCGCGACATCGTCGGAGTGAGTGGCGCCTCCGAGGTCGGTGTCGGCGTGGCCGTGCGGTCTGTGCAGCCGAGCGTGGCGGCGCAGCATGGCCGCCAGTGCGAGCGTTGGCGCTGCCGTGTGCACGGGGCCGAGAGGCCGCGTGAAAGAGTCTTCCAGCCTCAGCCTCTGCCTTCCTCCACATCAGGTACAGCTCCGCTGCCTACGGGACTGCGCGGCCTGGACTTCGCGGGGCTCGAGTCCTTCATCAGGGTGCACCCTCGGGAGTTCATGGAGGTCCCTCGGGAGTTCTTCGACGGGGCCCGCTGGGCTCCGGTTATCGCCACGAGGGTCGTCGTGCCCGACAACATCTTAGCCTTGGAAGGGGACGCGTGTATCTTGGGTATCAAGCACATCTTGAGGTCCAGGGCTGCCTTTGGGAAGCACATCTTATTGTTCGTCGACAACATGCCGCTGGCCCTGGGGGTTGTAAAGAAAGGGCCGCATCTATTCTTCTGCGTCGTACACTTCGTAAACTGCGTTGCATGGCGTTGTGTTCAAACTGTACGATTCACATTCGCTGGACCTGCAGCGAGTTCAACCCTGCCGACCCCCTGTCTCGTGGCCGTCTTGGCTGGTTCACAGGACCCTACCGTCGCCTCACGACCGCCGCGCCGTGCGCGTCGACGCCGGGGTCCGATGCCGAGCGCTGCGACCACCCGGCGACAGGCGGACCGCCAGCGTCGGGACGCCGCTGCCCGCGAGGTGGCGGCGACGCGGGGGCCCTCCGTCGGCCTGGCGGTGCTGGAGCGGACGGCGGTGAGGCCGGGCACGGAGCGCCTCTACCAGGTGTACCTCCGGGCCTTCCTCCAGTTCTGCCTCGTGATGGCGATCGACTGGGCGAGCGAGGCCGCGATGGACCTGGCGCTGGTCACGTACCTGAACTCGATGCACTTCAAGGGCCGCGCCCCGAACGAGGGCTCGGTGCTGCTGGCGGCGCTGGCGCACTACGCGCCGGCGCTGTGCAAGAGGACCGCGCAGGCTCTGCCGGGGGCGACCCGCTGCCTGGCGGGCTGGCGCCGCCGGGTGCCGACCAGGATGCGCCTGCCGCTGCCTCGCCGGGCTGCCTTCGCCATCGCAGGGGCGCTGGCGGCGTGGGGCCAGCCGCGCATGGGCCTGTTCGTCATGGTCTCGTTCGTGGCTTACTTCCGCCCGCAGGAAGCGTTCGGGCTGGCGGGGCGGCACCTCGCGCCGCCGGTGGCCCACCTGGGCCAAGCCCCGACCCCGCGGATGCCCGTCTCGGCAGGTGCGCGGTTTTCCCAGGGGCAATAGAAACCGCAGGTTGTTCGGATGCCCTGGGGCCAAACTACGCAGACATGACTTCGGATTTTGGAGGGACTTGCCCGAATGGGAGCAAGGGGGGACTGGTGACCCTTCCCTCGCGCGTTGTCTCTTCCCCGCTCCTCTGAGGCTTTCCCCTGTTTCCAAAACTCTGGACAGGCGGGAGTGGACCATCCTACTCTCTGATCGTTTTGTTTTTGGAAATGTACGTCCTGACGGTTCGGTTTTAAAACCGAAGGTACGGCGCCGCAGTAGGCCTGGATGGGCCTTCGCCATGATTAGTGATGCTGGTGACATGTTAGCCAGCGCTCACGGTCCGTTGCCGCGCCCGCTCCAGGATATATATACGGTGCTGAACGATATGCTGCTTTAGTGATTCTGAGGAACTCGGGACCAGGCGACATCAACCTTGGGATCGACTGCCAGTCGCTCATCAATGTCTGGGCCGAGGTCTTCATCATTATGGAGCGGGCGCCCCCTTCTGATAATTCTGGGGGGGGGGCTGTCTAGGGCTCGCGGTCGGGGAAATGGCCACGCGGTCCTCTTCAGGGTGCCCGCTCGCAAGTCTCTTTGGAGGGCGGCCTCTCCTGGCTGCCCAGTGTGGGCCTGGCGCGGGAACAAGGCCTGCGACTTCCTCTCGCGAGAGGCGGCTGCCAATGTGCCGCGCGGCGAGTTCCTTCGCCGTTTAAGCAGGCCGAGCCACTCACCTCCCTTGCCCTTGCTTTTCGCACAGGGCATGTGCTCGGCCACCTCTCTAGGAGTCGTCTTCTTTCCGATGTTGAATGCGTCAGAACCAAGGGCCGCAGCAGCAAACCCTCGGACGTTCTCATAGTGCCAGACCTCAATGGCCATGTGGTCAGGCACTGGGAAAGGTTTTTCCTGTCGCGTTTGTTTCTCGCGGGGGCGAACCTACAGGGCCCTGGCTTTAACCCCGTGCGCTGGGCTGCCTCGAATCATTCGTCAGACCACTCTAGCTACCAGCTCTGGGGTGGGATTGAGGAGAGAGCCAGCTCCCGAATCTTCTGGCGTGATTGGCGCGGTCGGTTTGGGAGAGCGAAGGCCCTCGGGCTCGGATGGGGAGTGCAGACGACGCCCCGAGACAAGGATGCCGGTGCCTCCCTTGGCCTCCTGGAGAGAGGCATCGACCCCAGCGCCAAGCGGTTCCTTGGTCGCAGCATCCCCATAGAAAAAGGCGATGCGGGCGTTTCGGTGTTTCGGCCCCGACCCCCTATCCATTTTCTGCCCGTCTCTGCTGTCGGTCTCGCGCCGTGGGGCCCGATGGAGCAAAGGCTGAAAGGCTGAAAGGAGGAGGAGAGGAATTAAATGGAAAGGAGCGGACTGGACTGGACCGGAATGGAACGGAATGCGATGGAATGGAATGAAACATAATGGAATCCTGACCAACGGGGCCTTGTGCTTCGCTTGGGCGACGCGCGCACCAGAGGACAGAGGCAGACGGGCTTCCGTATCCGCAGCGCCCGCCACTTCGTCGGCGGCCTCGTTGCCTTGGGCCATCCAGAGGGGAGTGCCCGAGGCCTCGAGAGTTGCCCCTGACAGGGGTAGCAGGGGGATGGAGGGGCGGCATGGAAGAAGGGAGGGGGGGATTAGGAAGGGGAGGAGGAAGAGGAGGAAGGGGGGGGGGAGGAGGAGGAGGGAGCGTAGCCATTTTGGCCCAAGACCCAGTCTTTCCCTCCCGCCCGCCCCGCACCTCAGCCCATCATGTTCTTGGGCAGCTCAGGCGTCCTCCACGCCTGTCAGCGCTGCCCGCCGTGCGCGGGAGGTCGCAGAGCCTGGATCTGGTCGGAACGCTGGCCAGGGAACGACGCGTGCGGCTACTGTGGCAGCCCTTGGCTCGACGATGTGGAGTGGGAGGGTCGGGATTGGGCGGGCGGCGAAGAGGGGGCTGAGGGCGAGGCCCCCCGGTCCCATGTCCCACGGGCCACGGCGGTGACCGACCGCGGGCCCTTGCAGCCCAAGCG